GTATAGAATCGAAAGTATCTATGTATGTACACTATATAACTGACTTTACCCCTTTTTCAAAAAATTATTGATATTAATAGAATTTTTAGTCTTATATCAATAATATATAAAATATACAAAAATTAGTCCTTAAATAATTTATAAAGGGTTTAAGATCTAAGGAGCTTTAATGATATTTGACAACTTACAAATGCGAATCTATTCCCGAAGCTTAATTCAATAAGCATTGCAGCAGACTATGCTACGAGATCTTTTACCTATGCATGTGCCAGATACACCTGTCAATCACTCAGTCTGACTAACTACTTATCTAGTACTGCGACTATATGAATTTCGTATAAACGAATTTCCCCAGTGCTTAGTCGTGCATTTACATTCACTTAACCCCACAGACACAACTGTACCAAAAAAAGAACAAAGCTACCCAAATGAAGGGCATACAAAAATGGTGCACTCTACACACACACACACACACATATGCACACAAATGAAATGAAAGAGTAAAGAAAAACACATACTTAGCCGTACGAAACATACGTGAAAATAAAAAAAATAAAAATATAAAAAAAGTTCGCCACTCAAAGGCAGACGCCCAGAATGCAGCCTAGCACACGTAGACAGCAGCCAGAGCGGCAGCAGAACTCTGTTGGTGCGGGTGGGTGGCCATGTGGGAGTATGTGTATGTGTGTAGCTGTGTAGGTGTGTAGACAACTGGTAACAATAACGGTATTTTCGATGCGGAGCAGCGGCAACGTCGACGTTGACGAAAAGGACGCGCAGGATGAGAGTTGGTTGTCGACGACGAGTTGCCAACAGCCACTTGACACTTCCGTCGTCACATGAATGGAGCCGTAAAAATGCGACGCTGCATTCGCTCCTTTTTTACAGATTTTCATACACTCGCTCAACTAGAAATTAGGGTATATTTGCTGTGTTCAATATTTGTCTAGCTATTCACGTGAGATCTGTTCTAACGATGCGCTAAGATACTACTAACAACTACTATTTCAATAGTTTCCTGCTAATACTCTCATTTCTACTACTATTTCTTTATTATTGCTTTCTCACTACTACTAACAACTACTATTTCAATAGTTTCTAATATTCTTACTACTATAACTACTACAATATCCTTATCTACTATTATTTTTGCTAATACTAATTTTACAATTTTCTACTACTACTGCTGTTATTTCTACTACTACTACTACTTCCTACTACTACTGCTGTTAATTCTACTACTACTACAACTTCCTACAACTACTGCTGCTATTTCTGCTACTACTATAACTTCCTACTACTTCAATTCCTACTACTATATCAACTTCCTACTACTACTGCTGTTATTTCTACTACTACTACAACTTCCTACTACTACTGCTGTTATTTCTACTACTACTTCAGCTTCGTACTACTATATCTACTTCCTACTACTACTGCTGTTATTTCTACTACTACTACAACTTCCTACTACTCCAATTATTTCTACTACTACTACACCATCCCACTACTATTGTTACTGCTACTACTACCATTACTTCCACTACTACTCTACTATTATTAGTTCTATTACTAATACTACTTTGATTACTACTACTTTTTACAGATTTGTGTATTCTATAAGAAAGCTAGACAAAGGTCAAAGTTGACTCTACAGATAGAGGCGAAACCAAAATTGTTCGCAGGCGAGTATTCCGCAGTCGGTTGCCTGTAATAGCAGCGTACTTACCAGCTTTTTTCAGTTATATTTCGTTTTTGTTTCCTCTTTTTTTTTTGGGCCAGTCGAGGGCAACGTTTTTATTTGGGCAGCAATATGAATGGGAGCGCTTGTGCGAGTATGTAAAATGAAGCAAATACATTCATGCATAATTTTTATGGCACGTCGGGGGACAAGAAATGACTCTTTCACATCATGTAGTATGTACGTCCGTATGTACATTTGGGATGCCAAAACGTTTTATGAACACGTTTCTCCTGGCACTTAATGCAAGAGTTTACAAGCCACCTAGAGACATGGCCTGGCACGGCATGGCAGGGGATAGCATGGAATGGCATGGCAAGGCATGGCATGGCATGGTAAGCTGTGGCTAGAGGCATGGGCTATGGAGTCATTAGCGCAAATTCACAGCGATGATTAGTTAAAAGGGGGACAGAGACAGTGCATAGAGAGACAGAGAGAGAGAGAGAGAGTGAGAGAGGGGGGAGGGAGTTCATTTAGCTGGTCAATGCACGCCAAAATGTAAAATGGGCCGGGCGCCAAGGTAGGTCAGTCAGCGAATGGGGCCCAAATGTGTTGAAGGCTTCTACTTAGCGCATAGTAAACAACAAAGAACATGGCCCAAGGAGTAGCCCGCCTGGGGCGTGGCTGCTGCAGCAGGCGGCGCGGGTGCACTGTGTGTGCAGCGTTGCATGCGGCGCAGCACGCACTTGCGGCGCAGCAAACAAAACTGGGATCGGCTGTTGCGGCTGCTGTTTGTTTTTTACTAATTTTAGATACCTTACAATAGGGGAATATGACTATGCATCTCAATATGTATGAGCCTAACTATAAGAAATAAATTAGTAGCACAAATTAAATTAAATAGAAGTTTTTTGGTTTCAGTTTTATACTCCAAAATATTCACATTGAAAAAAAAAAACTATAAGGTTATATATTATAATAAATCAAAATTTTATATTCTTTATTTAAGCGAGTCAGAATCTATCAACAAAATTATTCCATTGAACTCTCTTTCAATGTTCAAGTTTAAATTTTAGCTTCAAAAATAAATAAAGCACAGAAATTTGGATGAAACTAAAAAAAAAGAAAATTGTATAAGATCACGTACAAAATATGTACTCTATTATATATTAACTTTTGAGTCAGAATTTATAAACCTTTTTTTTTTTTTTAATATATCATTTAAAAATTTAATCTTCCATTTAAAATTCCAACTCCAGAAATAAATATAGCATAGAAATTTAGACGAAACATAATGCAAATTGTATAAGAACATATTCTAATCATAATTTCTTTTTTATATTTAACTTTTGAGTTAGAGTCATTCTGAATATTAAAAAAGTATATATATATTGGCTAGAACTGTAAAAGAGTATTCAGATTTCGTGTTTACTCCAGCTGCCTGTTCCCTCTTGTTCTTGGTTATGATTGACTGAGTTCTGTTGAAACTTTGGCGTCTGCTGGCACGCATGAATTACAATTTTCGAGTAACGAAAACCGCATGCACCTACACACACACACACACACACAGATAGAGAGAGAAAGAGACCTAAGCACTGAGAGTGCTACAATTAGCACTTTTTACACTTGGCTGTTTGGTTATTTCAAGTGGCTCTGATAAAAGCAGCTGAAAACGGAAACTCCAACAGTTTGCCTTGAGCTAGGCGCTTGAACCCGCCGCCAGCAACCACGCACCCGCTCAGCCACCCACTCACCCGCACCCACCGCTGCCGCCCAGCTTTGGCATGATTTCAGGTAGCAAATCGTTTAGCGGCCTAAAAATGACACTGTCCGCCTTTCGAGTATTTCTTCTTCTTTTCGCCGATAACAAAGTTTGCTCAAAAATGGCGCCCATAAAAAAAAGAGAGAAAAGAAAAATGTAAAGCCCAAAAGCAAAAGCAAAGCCTATTTGCAGACCGCATTCTCAGTCTGGCCGCTAGAGAACTGCAGAGAACTCTGAGTGCGTTATAAGGTAAACATTTGTTTTTACTTTTTCATTTGGCAAATAACATAAAGCAACAGCAAAAAAAAAACCGTTGAACTCGGTGAACAGAGTCACCTAGAAGGAGAGAGTGTGAGATGTAGAGAGAGAAGGATATATGGAGTTAAAGATAAGCATAGATAGATAGCGAAGAATGAGTATTAAAGTCTGTGCAAAGAATTACAGTTAATTTAGATATGATAGAAACCACTTAAATTCAGATTGTGTGTATATAACCGATATATATCGGCTATAACAAAGATATCCTATAGTTTTCATTCGCGAAATTTAAATGAGTATATTGGTTTTGGACAACGTCCGTCTTTCTGTCTGTTTGTCTATTCCTCTACCCGTCCGTCCATCAATCCGCCTGTCCTTAAGCAAGCCATCGCTATTGAAGCTAGAGATTTGAATTTTCGATTATATAATCGTCACGATTTTCGCAATCTACCCACTGGAGGCGTGACAAATTGGAAATGCATTTTCCGGTATCTCAGAAGCCATGCAGAGCTGCTAGGAAAGTTTGGAATATATGAAAAGAAGGCAGGAAAATTCTGGTCCGCAGACACGACGGTGCCTTGAGTGCCGTTATAACCGTATTCTATTGCAACGACGTCTATTGCACGATTCGTGAGTGAGTATTCAGTAGTCGATCATGCCCAATTGAGACTTTTTCATTTGCTTTTTTCTGGTTATGCTTAGATAATATTGTTTTCCATATGACATATAAAATTATAAAGATCATATTATATATAACNATTAATTTAAATATAAATAATAAATATTATTCAGAATGTGGAAATTCTTTTTTAATTTCCTTAGAATAAATAAACGACTCCAATCGAAAAAATACATGCAATTCCAATAACAACAAATTATCACACCGTTTCCAAGAAATGCCCAACCCAACCCAGCATTACACCCACACACACACACAGAGGCGAGCGATTTAGTCGCTGCCTCTGACGATCTACAAGTGCTGAAAAGTTGATTGCACTGCGTGCCAGACTTTTGCTAAAGCAAATATTGTTTAATAACATTTTTAAAAATAAAATTTACTGATTACACGCGCGACTGCAACAACGACAACGACAACGAGAACGCCAGCGTCAGCGTCAGCGTTAATGAGCGAGGCAACAGTGGGACATCGGCCTCGGACCTATCCCAAGACAAAAAACAATCAGAACAACAAGAACAAAACTGAAATAAAAATAGAAAAGAAACAAAAAATTGATATGCCCCACACTCGTGTGGTTCAGGGAGGTTTACTGCCGTGAGATGTCAAAAAAAGAAATTACATTTTTTGAAATTAGACTCACCGCATTACACCACTAACGGCATATTGCGTCCCACCTGGATAGAGTGCATAATCTCCATGATCAAAATGAATATCAGAAAGTTTTCGATCGACTGGCGGAGTAGCATGTAGACCATTTGCTCGTTCTGCGAGCGATCGCTGGAGACCCACACCAGATAATCATCGCCCAGGGCATCCTGAATCGAGCGATTCGTATACCTATAGGGATACAACAGGTGCACTCCAATCCGCCAGAATAGCACAAAAAATATGCTGGGACTGTTTGCCATTCGATTACCAATTCGATTTGGAGAGAACACTTTCTTTACACACTTACGCCATGTTTAGCCGTAGGGCAGCAGCTTTTAATTTAATCTGCCTTTCCCTGACTTTGTTGTTGTAATTTTCGGCCTTTTTTTCTTTCGTTTTTTTTCTTTTTACTTTATATAATGAAATTTTGTAAATTCGTACGTCACTTTCCTAAAAAGGCTCCTTCGTACAAAATTATTGCATATAATATAAAACTTTATATATAAAAAAATATATATTGACTTTTAGTTAAATTTTAGTTCTTTAATTAACAATTTTGAAAAGGCGTTATTTTACTGGTTCGAGACCTAGCTAAGGCAATAGCTAAAACAGCATGTGCTTGAGCGAGATAGCTGCATGCGCTGTGCTGAGTTGTATAGCAACCAGCTTTTAAAGGTGTAACAAAAGGTGGCTGTTCAAAAAGTAAAAATGAATGAATATACAAATTTAAAGCAAGTATATAAAATATACAAATATTTACTGAATTTACTCAGACAAAGCAATCAAAGTGGACCAAGGACCACACACTACATTATAATCGCAGTCTTTGGGCAGCTGCTGCATAGCATTAAAACTATCCAAATAGGCCAATTTGGACGGCTGTTGACCAAGTTGACCGTGTGCACACCAGCCACAAGCCCAGAGTCGACCACAGCTGCACTGGATAAGCGTGTGCCGTGATCCTGCGTAAGCCTTTATGGGAGCACACACATCAGCCTCTGCCTCAACAGCTGCACAGCATGCTGGCAAATCCTGCAGTTGGGGCAAGGGATAAACCGTGGGCTCCTTAAGCAGGCCATCCGGCTTCATGACGCGCATGCCCAGCTGTCCATTACAATTCCAGCCCCACACATAGAGATCGCCAAATGCTGAAATAGCTGCACTATGCCAGCCACCGGCCGCAATGTGTGTTATCTAGCAAATAGGCATTAGTTGAATAACGAAGATAACAAACTGACAAACTGACAAAATTAGTCATAAGTCTATTTGCTCACCTTAATGCCCGCCAGTGGCTCGAGTAAAAGCGGACGCTCTTCCACACCCAAACTCTCGTGACCCAGTTGCCCACGTCTGTGAAGTATGCAAATGCCTTAAATCTTAGTCAAATTAACGATAGTGAAATCTTACAGTCCGTTGCCCCAACTGTAGACATCGCCATTGCCGTTCAGTAGCAGCGCGTGCTCGTGTCCGCACTCCAACTGCCGCACTCGCCACGAGCCCTGCGGAAAGCGATGCAGGCAACTGGGTATGCTATACACAGCATTCCCCGCCGTGATGGCCACATTGATGTGCGAGCCGCAGGCAATGTGGGTGATGGAGATTTCATCGGCTTCCTTCGCCTGGCCAAATATGTTTCGCTTTGCAGAAGGTGCTTCTAATTTTACGGCCTGCAGTGTGGCATTCAACTCCGCTCGCAGCTTATATAACTGGCCACTCTGCAGCAACACCAAGCAATGGGCATCGCAAGCCGCCAAGGCTTTTATCTCTTCAGATGCATGCACTTCCAACCTTTCCTCTGGCTTGCTAACTAGCAGTCCTTGCAGCCACAGTTTCTTGCCCACAGCATAAGCCGTGTAACGCCAGCTCAGAGCAAGTATTATTTTGCCGGCGCTATCATCCGGCAGACTGATTTCTAACAAGGATTTAAACATACAAAATTAGCATTTAATTTGAGCACGTATCAACTTGTTGCACACTTACGAACCGGTTAGGGCATTGACTCGACCGGAAGTGCGTTCCGTGTTGCTCGCATTGTGCTGACCAAATGCATTGAAGCCCGTAAATAGCAACCGTCGTCTCATCTTCCGCTTCTCGGAGAGCGTTTGCGCAGCGGGGCGATTCGATTCGAAGCGGGGCGCTACCTGCGTCTGCTCTGTTGCTCTATTGTGTTTGGTCGACCGTTGTTCAGTTGCTAGCTAGCATTGCACCTGTAATGTTGTCGGCGATTTTGGTGGTGGTTTTTAATCAGTTTTTCAAATTCAAGTGCTAGAGTTCAAATTAATTTAACCGATCGCCGCTAAGCGTGCCAGTACTGCTATTGTTATTTATCAAAATGGTAGGTTGTACGCCCACTCATTCCATATCGTTGAGCAAACAAAGGCTTGAATAATTGCAGTTTTTTGTAATATTATTAAATCGCCTCAAATTATCCAATTTATAATTTGTTTATTATTTGTTGTCGTCATGGCAACTTGTGCATGTGAGCATATCGATAACTGGCGCTTATCGCCAGCTGTTGCTGAAGAAGTGTGGCCAGCTGTAAAAGCTCGATACCTCACGCGATATCGATTTGCATAAAGAGCGCCAGTTAATCGAGCTTCAAACGTGCACATCGTAATGTTTAGCTTGTGATGTTTAGCTGTAGTAAAAGCTTATTATTTACTCTTTAAATATTAGTTTTATTTAAATATTTCTTGTATATAGGGTCTACTTTCGCTGCTGCGCAAACTACGACCCAATCCAGAGAAGGAGGCACGTATTTTACTGCTCGGCTTGGACAACGCAGGCAAGACAACAATCCTCAAACAGCTCGCTTCCGAGGATATAACAACGGTGAGTATTATGGAACAGATGCGTTCTTGCTTTCCTAATAGACTTTCCAATCATTCGCAGGTGACGCCCACCGCCGGCTTTAACATCAAATCCGTTGCTGCAGATGGCTTCAAGTTGAATGTGTGGGACATTGGTGGTCAATGGAAGATTAGGCCTTATTGGAAGAACTATTTTGCCAACACAGATGTCTTGGTAACTAAACCAAACAAACTGGTAGTCTTCAGTTATTCTATAATTATCTTTTTACTCTAATTAGATCTACGTTATAGACTGCACGGATCGGGCACGACTGTCGGAAACGGGCAGCGAGCTCTTCGAGATGCTCATGGACAATCGCTTGAAGAGAGTGCCGCTGCTGGTCTTTGCCAACAAGCAGGACTTGCCCAATGCCATGAGCGCCTCCGAGGTAGCCGAAGCGTTGGGTCTGGTGCGTCTGGAGGAGCGCAGCTGGGAGATCAAAGCCTGCACAGCTGTCGATGGCACTGGCATCAAGGAGGGCATGGACTGGGTGTGCAAGAATATGAAAAAATAGTTTAAGCAGAAGAGAAAAATAATTAATTCAAATTAATGCGGATGTGAATATTGTTTTGGTAGAAAAGAAAGCTTAATTAAAAGTGTCCTTAAATATTTACATATAAACTTTGACTGATTGAAAAGTTTTGGTCTCGTAGTATACAAATCTTAGTAGTAGCTCGTATACGGCTGACACTTCACAAAATATAAACAAAAACAGAAACAAAACAATTAAATAAATTTCCAACCTAACAAAGGTATGACCACGCTCCTGGGCAAGCTGCGCAAGGCGCCCAAGAAGGAGTTCAATGTGCTCATCCTGGGCCTCAACAATGCGGGCAAGAGCACCTTGGCGGCACGTCTCGGCCTGGAAACCGATGATGCCGTAAGAGCAAACTGATCTTTGATTCCATATCATCTATTTTATCTGTATACGTGTATCTTTTGGGTCAGGTCAAGCAGGTTACTCCGACGGTTGACCTAACAGAAAGGCATTTGAAATTTAAGAAAATGAAAGTTTGTTTGCGTGATTTGAGTGGTCAGTGTAGAATGCGTAAGTCGTGGCATTCATTCTATAAGGATGCCAATGTATTGGTAAGTGACACATTCTAATCCTTGCCCAGCCCATACACTTCATTAATATTCTTGGCAGATCTTTGTTATCGACAGCGCGGATGCATCTCGTCTGAGTGAGGCACGCTGTGAGCTGTGCGAGGTTCTGCTGGATGAGCGACTTTCGCATGTGCCGCTGCTGCTTCTGGCCAATAAACAGGATGCCTTTGGTGCTCTGCCCAGCTCCATGATTGTTGAGCTGCTAGGCCTGAATCGCATCGAGGGTCGTCCATGGAAAATATACGAATGCTCCTCATTGGCAGGCGTGGGCATCGACGTGAGTGGAGATTTACACAATATATAGTATATAATCGTTATATATTGAAATAATTCTGCACTTTAGAACACCGTTAATTGGATCTACGAGCGATTGAAGAAACTGCGGCCAGCAAGTCTTTTTAGCAGGTTTCTTACTCCTTATTTTTTGTTTGGACCCACATGTTTGTTGGATCGTCGACCAGGGGGCATGGACGATTAATAAAATTTATGTAACTGGCACACATCGAATAATCTATTATTCATTTCGAATTCAATTCGAGCAACAACAACTACAGGTTGAAGAAGAATGACAACAAATAGGCCATGGCACACATCTGGGCAAGAAGAAGAGAATTTCAAACCCGTCAATTTATATTAAGTTTATACATACCTTTGCCTTCGATAACTAAAAATTAATGTTGCGACATTTATTTTGGATTTAAAATGTTCTCAACAACGAAATTTTAATACTCTTACACAAACAGATTAACTTAATGTTAACTTGAATCAGCTGTAATATTATAAGAAATGTATAAAAGAAATGTACAAGAATGTTGAACTTGACTTGTTATAGAATTAGCAAAGCTCTATCTAGTAATTTTGTTTTTGTTTTTTTGCTTCGATGAGCTTTAATAACAGTTCAAAAATGTCGTTAGTATTGCTGTCATGTAATTCCATTCTGCAAGGGTAAGCGTGTGTGTGTGCGTTAACTTAGCATAAAGAACGAAAGAGAAATAAAGCTGAAGCGTTGACTTTGACCACACCACTGCGAGAAGAGCGACACACTAAGAATGTGTGTGTAAAAAGAAAGTGGGTAGAAAATATAAACAAAGTTAAAAGCCAACAACACAGCCATAGAACAGCGCAAAAGTATTTATGTATATAGACACACACGCACACACGTCATGTACGTGTTTATGCGGGCAGCAAACTGACGTGGACAGCCCAGCGCACACAAGGCGCAGGCGTGAAGAAGCTTAAGGCCAAAGAGAGTGGGAGAGACAGAGAGAGATAGAGAGAGCGCGCGTGATCAAAGCAAAAGGAGAGCGCGCACAGCGAACACAGCTGTGCTCGAGGTCGAATGCAACATGTTGCATCGGCCCAGACGAGCGACTTAAGAAGTGTTACACACTGACTTCGAGGCACAGAAGAAAGAAAGTTTTCGTCTGGGTTGGCTGTGTTTGCTGCGCTACGGGCTTGGACACAGGCATACCTACATACACATATACATAGATAGTATATGTTTATTCATATTTTACTGTAGCAGCATAAGAAACGATTTGGGATTTCGTCTACCAATTTCTCAAGTCAGTGAAGCGTCGGTTGTGTTGTTGTTGTTGTTTAATTGGCCCAGCCACAAAAGAAATAATATATAAGCATACGAAAAAAAAAGTATCTCAAGTGTGTGATTGTGAAAGTTCTTGCCGAAAAAAGTATAAAGCAAAAAAATGTATATGAAACGAGCGCTGCTTCTGCTGGCGTTGCTCTGCGCACAGCCGTTTGGCCATATGGCCGAAGAGGAGGAGTCGAATCCATTGCTGGATATGGCCTCTGTCTTTATTCAGGAGGCATTGTCCAATAGTGGTGGCGGCGGCGGTGGAGGCGGTGCGGCCGGCGGCGGTGGCGCTGGGTTGGCTGGAGTGGCATCCCTAATCGGCAGCTTTATGCAGGCCAACGGCAAAGCTGGTGGAGGCGGTGGTGGCGGTGGAGGAGCCGCCATGCAAATCCTTTCGGGCCTGGGCAGCATGCTGGCTAACAATGCACGTGGCGGCAATGGAGGTGCTGATGGCGGTGGCTTCGATCCATCCATCATTGGCAATGTCCTGGAGATGTTCACCCAAGGCGATGATGAGGATACTGGTGATGCGCAGAAGCGCAGCAGTGGTGGTAGCGGCGGCGGCGTCGGCGGCGGTGCTGGCGCTGGCATTGGCCTGGACACCATTCTGCAAGTGGCATCCGCTTTCATGGGCAACCAAGGCGCTCCCGAAAAGCCCGCCAATCTTCCACATCAGAAGCAAAAGAGAGCCGTCAAGGAGGAGGAACCAGAGACGGAGAATGGGTTCATGAACCTGTTGCCACTAATCATGCAGGCAGTCAGCTCCTTTGCCGGACCCGAGGGCCAGCACACACAGGAGCGCCACAAGAGCCATGCATGGGTCCTGCCACCATTCCTGGAGCACGTGCACGTGCTGTGGGATCATTTCTCCAACTCCGAGCTAGCGGATGCACTGTACGAAAAGTCGGGCGTCAACAAGATAATGAAGGTATGGGACGATAATATTCAAAATTTTATTTATTATTATTCGAAAAAGAACCGAAGATCAAATGAGAGTGATGTAATATGTCATCGATTATTCATTCATCGATATGTATTTCTTACTTGTTTAAAGGGCTTCAAGGGTCGCGATGGCAAAGTCGATTACGATAAACTGTTCGAGTCACTGAATAATCAATCCTTCCGTCGTCGCTGGATTAAATCGGCCACTTTGTATTTGGCTGACTGGGCCAGCTATATAGCCAATCCGGAAAACTATCTCAGGTGAGCGTTTGCCGGGTGATCGATGCGTGTTAATTGTAGAACACGATTCTCTGTCTTAACGGTATTAAGCTGTTTAGCACCCTAATGTGATATGATTCTAACTCTCAGCGATGCTTACGTCTAATTGCAATACAAATGCGAGTACGCAACAGCTGCGTGTTGCTGTTGTTGTATCTGCCTGTTGAATTACCGTTAGCTGCTACCTGTTTGGCATCGAACATGTTTGAAGCTAGCCCGCTCGCGCGCTCACTTACCTTTTGACACACTTTTTTAGTGCTGGCAGCTTTTAGAACATGGTTGTTAATCTGAGTGGTCAACAACAATAAGAAGAAGAGAAGGCAGAAGGGGAGAAGAGAGAATTCAAGTCCAAATCCAATTGCAGGCTTCGCATTTTCGGATTTGGGTGTGCGCGCACGCGTGCATGAGTGTGTATCTGTGTGTGTGTATCGGCTTGCATGCGCCTGTGTGTGTGTGTGTGTGTGTGTGTGTGTTACAGTTACTACGACGATGGCATCATTAAGCATACAAATAAACCATACGAATGCCAGAACGGTTCATTTAGTATGCATGGTTGTTGTTGTTGTTGTTGTTGCTGTTGCTGTTGCTGTTGGCAAAACCTGTTTGGATGAGGAAGTGGGCCAAAGGCAAAGTAAATACTTGAAAAAGCACCGAGCTGCGAGTATTTAGGTCAAGCTGACTCAAGACACAATCAAAATGCAAAATTTTTGGCAATTATATTAATTACTCACGCCCCCGCTTATCATCAGCATATTATCATCAACATCATCGTCATTATTATGATCATCATGATGATCATTGTTATTAGACAACAATAATAACTTCCACTTTCTAGCGGCCCTTTCACTCAAATAGTGCTGCGTCAGCATTATATGAGTAACAATTTGATTTTCCATTTCTTTTTTCATTTTTTTCTTATTGCTTTTTGCACTTTCCACAGATACTTCCAGACGGCGCAAATCATGTTTAACGGTCTATTGAAGTCTCAAGGTTATCCCAAGCAAACCTATTTCGATCCGGCACGCCCCAGCGAAACCATTTCAAATCTCTTGAACCACGTGGCCAAACACCATTTGAATGTGAAAATTGATTCGCGTCAATACGTGAAACCAGCTGTTGGCTATGCTAAGGAGCTGCTCAAACTGGGCCAAGCACGTGGTTTGCTGCAGTTCAATGCCACCGAGATCAGCGATCGATTGACGGATACGCTCAACCTAGAGGTAAGTCCATGCCACAGAACCGAATTGGAAAACAGAAAACGAATCTAAGCCAAGCAGATAGCACAAATGCAATTAATTACGCTACAACAAATTTTCTCTTTTCCCATTTTTCTTCTTTTTCTACGATTGTTCGATAAACGCATCAAAACAGGTTATCGAACCGGTGCTAAAAGTCCATCGCGCCTACAGATTCATCTCCAAGTCGCCGCAATGCGATCGCTATGTGCTTTGTGAGCTAAATGCAGCCGCTCTCGAACAGCAACAGCAGCAGGAATCGAAGAAATCGACGAAGACAACGGCCGGCGGTCTCATTGCCGGCGTTAGTCCGAAAATTGTTAAGATCGGCAGCATGGGTGCCGCGATCTTCATTAGCACTGAAACCGGTACACCATTCTGGACGCTGTTCGGTGTAATCAATGCGCCATATAATTGCGAGGTGAGCATCCGTCTCTATAACCATTCCAATTGCTGTTACCGTTATCTATTTGGAATTTGTCGACTAATCGTGTTGCTCCCCTCACCTCAGGCTAAATACCCCGTCGACTGCAACGGCTTCCACGAGGGCGAGGCCAAGGTGACCACGGAATACGTGCACAACGAGCTGTAGTTGCCCCAAACTACCAACGACGACTGCTAAGCGTGCTTATTAGAATGATATAGATGTAGTTGAATCAAAAATTTCTCAATGTAAATAGTATTACGAATGGCAATAAATCTTAATGTAATTGGAAGTCGTGTGAGGATGTCTTGGTTCAGGATGTAAATAATCAACTTTCAAGGTAACAACATACTTTATATTCGAATAACATATCAAATTACTCTTTGCAAAACATATACATATACAATACTTTTAAAATATTTAAACAAAATCAATAATTTAAGTATTTTAAAATATATATACGTATTTGAGTGAAACAAAAAAATAAATGTTTTACATTTTTAATATAAAATCGAATATGAAGATTAATGTAAATTAAATATGCGAGAGATTTCATTGAAGCCTATTTACGGATCTATTGATAGAAGTATAGACTCATTATAATTTTTAAATAAATAATTTAACATTTTTACAATATTTTATTAATATTTTA